ACAATTTCATGAATATTAAGCTTGCCTTATATGATTCAAAAACTATAAAGACTATAAAAGCTACTAACCTTTTTTTTAATAGGTCAACGACCAATGATGTTGGAACCGGTGAAGTGTTAAAGTTGTAGACAAGAGACAGAGTATAAGACTTCAGTATTTCTAGTCGAATTTTATAGCCCTGGAGTCACAAAGTTCACATGAGAGAATTTACTGTTATTGTTTACAATTCTGTGAGTATTAAGCTTACTTTTATAGAATTCAACCTATAAAGGCTATAAAAGCAACTAACCTTTTTTTTATAGACCAATGACCAGTGGTGTTAAAACCAGAGAATGCAGGCAAAGTAGACAATGTAAGACTTCAATATTCAAGTCGAATTCATAGCCAAGTACAAAGTCGTGAAATTTACAAAACCCACTAACCTTTTTTTTTTGAAATGACTGTCATAGTTTACAATCCCGTGAGTATTAAGATTGCTTTTAAAGAACTCATAGAACTCAAAAAACTACGAAAGTTATAAAATCACTACCCTTTTTTTATAGTAAAAGTATTGAAATTACAGACAAAGCAAATAGTGTAAGGCCATAATCTGTATAGAGTTGCGAAGTTAACGGAGCCTACTAAATTTTTTTTTTTTTTAAAAAAAAAAAAAAAGAAGCTACATTCGCCTTTTTATAGACCAGCGACCTATGATATTAAAATCAGTGAAGTATTGAAATTGCAGGTAAAGCAAGCAGAATATAAGATTCCAATATTTCTAGTCACCTTTTATAACCCAGTATAGAATCACGAAATTAACAGAACCCACTAACCTTTTTTTTTTTTCTTACATATAACCCAGACAATTTTTCTTTCCTTTCGTATTAGTGCTGTCTTAGCACTTAAACCTTCTTACTAATTCGAAGTAATAGCTATGGCCTCAACATACAATACCGCATTTCTAAAGTAGATACGTACTGTACATACTGTACGTACGTACCTAGGTGCCCACGACAGACAAGTTTATATACGAGATCATTACCATATATGTATGGCTAAGCTGCATGTGCATTTCGGCTTTAGCCTATTGACGTACCTCATTTGACAAGTTGGACAAGTCGACATACCGAGAACAAATGATCATCGGATGATCACGTAAATTTCAACATCAGCTGTTTTCAGCATCAGCTGCGACAATTATTTTCACATCCAATATTCTTATTTACTGAAATAATCATTTCTAATGCATTTAAGTAATCTTCTAGTGTATGAAGATTACTTTCTTTAAATTCGACTAGCCTCACTTCTTCCATATTTCTTTCTTTTTCTTTTTCTTTTATAGCATCGTCATAGGAGTGAATAGTTAAAAGTTCTATTTGATTAAAATTAACATTTACTTCTTGTGAGATAGACCACTGACTCTTTCTTTGCATATACGAAAGGTCAAAAATTCCACAATATTGGGTAATTAAATGAAAGCAAACTAAGGATGTGTCTATATTTACAGGGTTATGAATTAAGCTACCATTGTAGCTTATTGGAATTGGTGCACAATTTAAAATTTCTTTGCTAATGCATGTAGCAAAATGAATTGGAGCTGAGAGAACTACGTTATTTGGGTGCCTTATGCCATGTATGTTGTGGTAATCATCAATATTATAAACAAAAAAACTATTATTCTACAGTATTATTAAATAGTATTAATTATTATTTAAATTTAGATGATCAAGATTTGTAGTTAATCCTTATTTATCAACTTGACGAAGTCGATCGGCTTAGCCAACTAAGTCAAAGTCGATTAATATTTTTTACCTTTGGAATTTTGTCTCATTAATTTTCTTTTTTGGTATTTTTTGGCCTTTACTCTTAGTACTATGTACTAAAGGAGGTAATGTATTGAATTTGATTGATTACTTTAATATAAGCTAACATAAAATTGGCTAAGTTGATTTTTTAGAAAATCGGCTAACTAAGCCGGCTAAGTCGATAAAAATCGACTATGCAAAATCAATTACAAACACTAAAGATTTGTATTAGGCTACGCAAAGTAAATTTTTTGTTTAATATTACATGGAATCTGAAAATTGGGTCGGTCAGTCGATTTTTTTTTTTAAATCTACTTTAAATTAATAGAATTATGTTTGCATTTTAAGGTTATGCAAAGTTATTCTTTTTTTTGTATAACAAGGAATTAGAAATTGCGTTTTTTCCTGTTGGTCCTATCAGATAATTCCAGGATATTGGGTGTCTCCATTGCAGAAAAAATAAATGGCAAAAATTGAATAATTGACACAATTGAGATGTAAAAAAATGGATCAGTGGGTAATGTTAAATGAAAAATTAACTTTGTGTGGCCTTATATTATGGAATTCTGTAGAAACTATTTCATCAAAGCCGAAATAGTTTCTAAGGCATGTATTGTTTTTACCACACCTACTTACCCTTTCAGTAAAATAATTTCTAATGTTTTTTGGATGTGCATTTACTATCTTTTTCCTATAATTGTCAACAGTTTTATAGCAAACTGACATACCAGCTTTATGCATTGTATCAATAGCATCGCATGAAGCACCGGATGCTGCAAGATATAACCCGATTTCCAAAGGATAACTGTTCACAAGCCTATTACGTATTGCCACAATTGAATAACATATATTAACTACCTTTTTTTTACCTTCTTTTTTATTATATGCAGACTGTCTTTCTGGAATAAATGCATTATATAATTCATCAAAAAATCCTTTTAATAACGGTTCTGCATTTTCAAGCATTATTTTAAACCGGTTTGGGTCTAATTCAAGCATTTGATTTTCTTTTCTTTGTTTGTTATATAATACTTTAGTCATTAATGCAATTTTATCACCGAATGACAATGGCTTTTCAGTGACATTATCCTGTAGATTATTAGTTGGCAATTTCTTTACATTATGGCGATCAGGTTCAATGATCTCAAGGTAATGAGTATAGCATAATTGCATTCCGACTTCTAAATAATTATATTGATCAAATGTGCCTTTATCTTTTGCTTTTTTAAGTGCATAATCAGTGATTCCGCGAAATTGCTTCGGGATTATTTGGCAATCACGAACTGAGCAAGGGCCGAGGTTCTTTTTAGTCATTATGCGTAATTATAAAATTTAATTATAAGTTTAAAAAGCGCGTTTTTTTAATTTATTAAAATATGTAAACTTTATACAGATCATTACTTATTATACAATAAATAAATAAACATTTAAATATATTACTCTAATTTAATATTATAGAACAGACAACTTTCGCGTTGCCCTGCATGTTAATAAAAAGCCCCTGCGTAAATTAGATGGTACGAGGCCATTATTTTACTAGGAATTGCGTGAAACGTGTTATATTTTAGATCGGCTTAATTAAACCTTTATTTGCACAATCTACGCATGTAGCGATGGGAATTTCTAATTGTTAATGATATAAATCATGTTAACAATTAAATTGTTAAAATGATTTATATATAAATCATTTTAACAATTAAATTGTTAACATGATTTATATAGTTAACAATTAGAAATTCCCATCGCTACACGCATGAGACACATCGGTTATTCTACAGTATATTTACATACTATATACCTATTACTATACGCATATACAAGCTCTTGTTATAGTGAAATGATTGGGCTGTGAAATTTTAGTTACTATATCGAGAGCTATTAGTAAATTTTGAGTAAATTCACTATGTCGAGAGGGTTTTTATTTAAACTGTTCTTCACTATACTTACTTGTAATTTGTTATGCATGTGATATGGATTCGTTATTTTTATTGGATCATGTTCGTGTTACATCTACATGTAGATCACAAATCCTTAACCAATTAAACCAAATTTCTATCATGCTCATACACTCCCTACCCTTAAAAACGCGTACAACGCGAAACAATACGAACTATTTTAACTATTTTGAATTTATCGTTGACGAGTTGTCATAGGAAGTTATGCAGTAAATTTTGGCCTATTTGACAAAAACGCATCTGCAATTACAAGTACAACAAGTGTTTAGAGGATATTGAACGAAGTTATAACCCTTTAGACAAAGAAAGATTAAAGGCATCTTTATTGAAGAAACCATTCAAGGCTAGTCTTTTTTTTTTTTGTAAAATGGCACAACTATTGCAACACAACTTGATTTTAAGTATTTTAAGTCAAGTCAATACTAGACGGGGTATTCCGAGCGCTACCCTGGGTTTCCTTGGCGTGTTTCAATATGTTCTGC